GATTAGACATGTTTTTTATTATTTTCATTAGTTATTATCTCAATTTCGTCTAAAAGAATTGACAAAATCCTACACACTGTGCCTTTAAGGCTTTGAAAGAATTGCTATTGTCGTTATATTCATCACATCTGGACAGCTGTGTAGCTCCATTCCCTCTTGCTAAGAATCAAACTGTGTGTCATTATCAGCCCCTTGGACTCCTGTGGATTTGTATGATGTGGTGCAGCAACAGTCTAATCCCCCACCGGTCAGTACCATGCAGCCATGACCATSTCTTTCTCAGACACTTGGCTGAAGTCCCACCCAACGAGCCTTCAGTGGCACCGATCAACAGATGGMGTGTTGTCAAAATTTCCTGCAAAACAAACTCAAACAAGCTGTTTCTTCTCCCCCCAGAGGTGAAGGTCGTCTGCAGAACAATCGCTCCGGCTGCGAGCAGACTCTAATGAAAGTGTGCAGGTTGAATGTGCAGAACGAGCGGGCCCGCTTGTAAGAGTTGAGCTGACATTACACTGATTGAGAGAGAGAGGTCAGGCGTGTTAACACAACGCCACAGTAAGCTGTTTCCCAGCGGATAAGGTCATTCAGCTACAGCACTCTGACAAAGCCATTACTCTATGAAAATGTTACCCGTTTGTAGTATAATAAGGTGAAAATGAACCCAAACAGGATGAAACTTTTTACGTGAGTTTCTACAACATGTCTTGATAAATGACACTGAAGCATTTTTCCTCTCCCGCTGTACTTTCTGCCATACGGAAAACAGAAGCAAAGGCTGAGATAATTAGATGACTCATCAGTGAAATACTGTTTTATTGATAAAAACTCTAGCACTTGAACAAGGCTGCTGTTTTTCTCCTTGAACTGTGTACCACTAAATGTGTCAAATTTACAWATACTCTGATTATATGAAATCTTATAGACTAGCCACTAAAAGAATAAAAATAAATGATTATTGTGATACATTTAATGGTCTGAAAAGCACTTGGTAAAAGCACTGACTTGTATTTAGTACTTTGTTCAACCCACACTAGAAACACCATAATTTAAGAACTGATTGATAAATTAAGATATGTACCAAACTGTGTATGCCCCACTCTTTTTTTCTTTCTATATAATGAAGTAAGATGTATAAGTAATGCATTGTGTTGTATTATGTCTTGACCCTGAAGAATTCATCAGTTTTTTTTACTTTGTAGAAAATGCTCTTCCTCAAAACCACTTTTAAACCCAGAAGATGAAAAAAAAAGTTCACTTTCAGAATTAACACAGTTTAGACACAGAATGAGGGAGAAAGAAAAATAAAATCCAACTTACAATGAATGAAGGTGAGAAAGTATGCGAGGATGAGCGCAGTCCAACTCATTCTGACGGCACCATGTGGTCCTTCTCAGCTGCTTCCTGCTCCTCTCCTCGGACATCCCGGACTCTCGCGGTTCGGTAACTGCCCCCCCAGCACCGAGCTGATCCCTGTGCTGCTCTCACCACTTGGCTTGTTGGAGTTCACGGAGCCGCTGACGGGACTCAGCAGCAGCAGCAGCCTCCACCCCCGCCTCTGTCCCCTGGAGCTCCTCACCCTCTGCTTCCTTCAGGTCCCTGCAGCCACGAGACCCCCTGCTGAGAGTTTATGAGCAGCAGCTTCTCCAGGTGATGACTACTCACGCTGAAACTGGTTGCTTTAAATAAAATAAAATAAAATAAAATAAAATAAAATAAAATAAAATAAAATAAAATAAAATAAAATAAAAAAATCCAAATTAAAAAAGGGTTATTTCATTGTTATTTGCACATGAATAACAGTGGATGATCATAATCATTTGAACAATAAAGTCATCAGGAGAGCAAGGTCTTCACTGTATTTAACAAATCCCAATCCCCAAATGC